TCTCGAACTCCTGAGCTCAAACAATCTGCCCGCTTCGGCCTCCCAGAGAGCTAGGATTACAGGCGTGAGCCACCGCGCCCGGCCCGATTCTTGAGATATTTTAAATTCTTTTTTTTTTTTTTGGTATCAAGTCTTTGAAATCTGTTATGCAATTTACACGCACAACATCTCAATTTGGACTAGCCACCTTTCAAGTGTGGCTGATGTAGCTGGTGGCTTCTCTAGTGGACAGTGCAGGTGTAGGTTTTAAATTACTTTAGAGTGTGCTCACACCTGGTTAGCCAGAGGCAGCAGGATCTCTGATGTTGGGGTCCCAAACATCTCGGTTCCTATCCTTGATTTTTCTTACATCTTGATTCAGAAGCCCTCTTTTTTATGTGATCTGAAGCTATATTTCCAATACCTACAGATCAGAAGAATTATGTATCTATTGCAGGATCTGTGAAGTCCAGCTGTGTAGTAACTTCCATTTCCAGCATTCTCCTCAAGCACCTCTTGCTGAGCCCACCAGTGACCTCCTGGGTGCTAACACAGTGGTTTCCAGGAGTTATTTCCCTGGCCTCTCTCCTCCACTCACCTCTCCTGAGTTGCTTCCTGCCTCTCCAGCTGATCCTTCTTAGTCTTCTCCGTAACTCTGCATTCTCAATGCTTCCTTTCCATGTTGATGTTCTCCTGGGTTCTTCCTTGGCCCTCTTACTCTTTCACTCTGTGTGCAGGGAGACCTGAGTGATCTTTCTTCACTTGCATCATCTTTACTTTCAGGGACCTTCATTCTCTATCTCCAGCTCCACACTCTTTTGGTCTCTGGATTTAAATATCTATCCAACTGCCTACTGGACCTCTCTCTCCCTGAGAAGATCCCAAAGACATTGGGAAACCCACAAGCCAAAATTGTACCAATCATCTTTCCCGTCAGATATGTTTCTCCATTTGTATCACAGTCATCCCTCAGTATCCCTGAGGATACCAAAATCTGAGGATGCTCAAGTCCTTTATATAAAATGATGTAGACTGGGCATGGTGGTTCATGCCTATAATCCCACACTTTGGACTGCCAAGGTAGGAGGATCGCTTGAGCCCAGGAGTTCAAGACCAGCCTGGGCAACACAAGGAGACCCTGTCTCTACAAGGAGTTTTAAAAACTAGCCAGGTGTGGTGGTGTGTGCCTGTAATCTCAGCTGCTTGGGAGGCTGAGGCAGGAGGATCACTTGAGGCCAGGTGTTGGAGGCCTCAGTCAGCTATGATCATGCCATTCCACTCCAGCCTGGGCTGTAGAGCAAGACCCATCTATAAATAAATAAATAAACAAACGAATAAATAAATAAATAAAATGGTGCAGTATTTGCATATAATCTATACACATGCTCCTGTATACTTTAAATCATCTGTAGATTACTTATAGTATCTAATACAATGTAAATACTACGTAAATAGTTGTTATACTGTATTGCTTATTTCTATTTTTAATTGTTGTATCATTTTTTATTGTTTCTTTCCAAACATTTTTGACCCATGGTTGCTTGAATCCATGGTTGCGGAACCCACAGATATGGAGGGCCGACTATATTTATTTAGTGAATGGCATCATTAGTTGTCTGGTCATTGAAACCAGAAAACTGGGATAAATATGGCTCTCTCTGTTCACTTCCCACATCTAATTATCACAAGTCCCATTAATTCTGCATCCTAAATAATTCTGCCTCTTTTCTTCTTGACACTAAGTTGATGCTCATCATTTTTACCTGGATTGTTACAATAGGTTCCTAACTGGTTTCTCTGGACTTTCATGATCTGGCAACAAAAGGTAGGCATTCCTGTTTTGTTCATGCTGTTCTTCCACTACCTAGAACAGTACCTGACATGTAATGTGCACACAAGTAATATTTGTTGAGTGAATGTATGTGTAAATGGCAGTACTTTACCTTTCCAGCCTCACTTCCCACATTGTGTATGATCCTCACTCAGCAGCCTGACCTGAGTACATAGACTTCTCAGTGAGTTATGTCTTTGCACATTTTGTTCCTTCTGCCTGCATGTGCTTGGTCTACATCTACTCATTAAGACTCAGCCCTATATTGTCAACTGCAGGAAGCTTCGCCTTCCCAAGTCTCGGTTAAGTACCCCTCCTCTGTGGTCTCATAGCATGCTGTGCACACCTCTAATATAGCATTTATCTTGCTTCCTTGTATTTGGTGATTTATGTTGACTATGAGCTCTTTGACGGTGGGGTTTTTGACTATACCTTTTCTATTCCCCAGCATCTAACCCATAAAGAGCACTCTAGAAAGTTTCTTGAATTAATAGAAACATCTCTACCCCAACTGACATCACATTTTGTTCTTTTAAGCCACACGTGGCACTTCAATGATATTGGTAATGTTTGATTATTTGAAGCATTGAACAGTCCAATGCTGTTCACCTTATTATTCTTTATATATATTATTTTGTATGTATAAAATATTTCATTAAAATAATTTAAAAATTATTTTTGGAGGACTGGACTTATATGCCAGTCTTTGTACGAGATTTTAGGAACACAGCAATGTATATTCACAGAACCTACCCTCAAGTTGTGTATAGTCTAGAGAGAAGAAAAAGTTATAAACATGACATAGCATGTTTTTACAAAGTGCTGTATGTGGTATCTCAAAGGATAACTAAGGGAAGTCAAGTAAGGGTTTATGGAGGTGTCCTTTGGCCCAGAGGAAAGTATGTGCTCAGAGGCATGCAAAAGTGGTGCATATTTTTGTGGAATGGTTCTGTTATACTAGAGCACAGGGTCCCTTAAGGTAGGATGGGGAAATGGAAAGGCAAGTTTTGACCAGACTGTGAAGACCCTGCTTTACATACTAAGCAATCTGCACTTGATGTTCCCATACGTAACAGGCAGCTGTTGAGGTTATATATGTGGAAAGTGATGTGTTTGGACTCATTCTTCTACCCCCCAAATACTGATGAGTTCCTACTTGCTGCTATTTGATCTGACTTTTCCTTTCACACTAGAGGCTCAAGCCCATTCAGGTCTATCAGCTTCTGCACAGATGCTGGGAAGCATGGAGGAAAGATGACCCATCACAGAAGGGAAAGTAGGAGAAAGGCTGAGTTGCCAAATACCACACCGTGAGTAGGAGACAGAACTAGAATTGGATCCAGCTGTCTTCCTTCCCTTTCTGTGTAGTCAATTACCCTCCCCTGAGCTCCCTCTGTGTCAGGGGCCATGCCTGGATACGGGGGTAGGCAAATCATGAGTAAGGAAGAGAAATGGCCCCAGACTTTTGCAGCACTCCCACTCCGAAAACGCAGGTTGCACACCAGAAAGACACACAAGGGCAGAGAAAGGAGCAGCTGGAAATTCTAGATATCCACATCTGTCTGGTGAGGGACTGCGGGGCTTCATGGAGGAGGGGAGTGTGAAGCAGATTTGGAATGGTGAAGCAGAACAGGGCTGGAGAGAAAGGAAGGAGGTGAGAAGGACCCAGGTGAAGTTTTGGAGGCAGGAAAGAACAAAACCTACACCGCAGTCCTCATATGTACTTTTGGTCTGACAGCTGTATCAGTGGCCTTGTACAGCGAGCCACGTGGCTCCTGTGGGGGTGTGCGTGGCTTGGTAGGGGCTGTGGGTAGGAGCAGGGGGCCTGGGTCCCTGTTCCTGTCTTCTTTCTTCCTCTTTGCACTAGGGGGCCACCCTTCTGGAAGCCAGGATGTGTGGGTCCCAGATTCTTCCTTCTCCAACCTCCCCCAGAAATAAATCACAAATGATTTCATTAAATGCACCTCCTGCTGGGGATGTTGGCTCATAATTCCTCTCTGATTAACCCCCACTACCCCGGCAAGTTTATAGGCCAAGAGAGGGAGGGGGAGAAGAAGAGGGTAAAAGGAGGGATGGGGGGAATCCCAGGCGGGTGATGGATGCCTCTGTCAGCCTAGCTCGTATTTATTAATAGTCTTAATACGGGAAGCAATAAAGGAAGAGAGGGATTCTATTAATTAAATCATTGTTATAATTAACTTTCATTAAAGGAGGATCAATAAAGAGGGGTTGAGATGGAGAGAGGAGAGATCCATTATCTCTAATTTCCTTGGAAGGGATTCAGGGAACGAGATGGGGTTGCTAGGAGACAGAGATGTGAAGGAAGAAGGAAGGATGTAAGATGTCATCCAGGTGGGGCTGGAAGCAGAGTGGACAGGAGGGTTTCAGGTGAATGGAGAGAGGGAATGGTGGGGGTGGTCCACCCAGGGGCCCTGAAGGGAGTTGGGGGTGGCTGATAAGGGAGCTGCTGGGATGGAGAACAAGGGGGCTGCAGGCATGTTCCTGTGCAGAGCATTGCTGAGAGCCGTGGTGAGCACGCAGGTCCTTAATAAATGCTTTATGATGCTGTGTATGTGTCTGTCTAGCCTGCGAAGCTGGTTAGAGCGGATGAATGTGTTTTTGTGACTGTGGAGTCAGAGCGTGCATATGGGTATGTGGGGATGGCAGCAGAGACAGAGACAGGGATGGGAGAAATATAAAACAGTCTTCAGAGGTATGGGGCTTAGGGCATTTTTTACTACGTGGATACTCAAAGGTATGCACTCTTGACAGAAGTATGCCTGTCCTTTGGCCTAAGGCACAAGGATGGCTGATGTGGAGGGTGAAGGTCTGAGCAGTGGAAACCCTGTTCCACTTTTCCAAGACATGTACCCCCACCCCCGCTGGACTAAACCCTGAGCAGAACTGACGCAGACCCAGCAGTGTGCTCCCTCCCCCACTGCAGTATTCTCCAAGCCAGATCTCCCACTTGAGACAGAGCTTCTTTCCTCCTCCCCCTCCTCCCACTGGTGCCAGCACATCAGGAGGCACAGTGGGAAAATAACTGCTCAGCATCCTCCCCCATGAGGCAGGGACAAGTCTCCTCCTTCCCTCTCCCCTCCACGAGGGTCTAAGAGCCAGAGGTCTGGACCCTGTTTGCTCCAGCCACACTCATGATAAGAACACACTTTATGACGACAGTTACACATATCATATAAATATATTTGTCCAAACTACAGAGAGAAGGGAGAGTATCGGGGCGAAGTTCTTATTGCTGTGGGGGTACCTGGAGAGGGAGGAGAGGTGGGGAAATGAGGACACCTGGAACCACTTGTTCCCCCATCCCTCACAGAAGGCACGAATACATTATTTCTTTCCATGTGAGGTGGCTGAGGGTGCGGGCAGGGCAGTGAGGGCTGGAAGGGGCAGGAGACAGAGTACAGGAATCCTCAAAAATACAAAAGAAACCTCCAAACTTAGTATCTAGGGCTATGGGAAAAAGCTGGAGTGGGGTGTGGAGGGGAACAGAAAGAGAAACCAACGAAGCTGTGAACCGAAAGAGACCGAAGAGGCCATGACGTCCATGCTGCTGCCTCTATGCAGGCCCCAGAGAAAACTCAGGTAAACAAACATAAACCCCAAATAAGCGAGGTGGGGCGCCCCAGGAATTGGCTTTGGGGCATCAGAAAGGGGAGTGTGTGTGAGTGTGTTTGTGTGTGCAGTGGCTGTGTGAGTATCAGAAGCAACCAGGGCTAGGAGTGGGTGATTCCATTCTCACAGGGGAAGGCCTCCTCCATCCTGGTTCTTCCAGAACCGCTTTCAGGGGGTAAATTCAGCCACTCCTTCTGAGAAGGGCTCCTGCCTAAGACAAAAAAGCCAGGTAGGAGAGGATGAAGTGAGAAAGCTTGGGATGAAACCAGGGCACATAGAAGCGGTTCTTAGAGAACAGAATATCATGGAGCCCAGTGTGATGGGAAACCGGCCCGAGACCTAAGTGCATGTTTGTGTCTGACTGTATGAGAATGTGTGTGTGTGTGTCTGTGGGTGTGTGTGTATCTGTGCAGGTATTAGGGAGGGGTTAGATCACTCAAAGGTGAAGGGGTCCTGGGTGCTGAAAAAGAAGTGTCCATCCATGTGGTCCTCCAGGGCATCCTTGTCACTCTCAGCAGGGAAGCGCTCCTTACAGATAGGACACTCCTTCCATGGGGGAGTGGCAGGGTCCCCAGTGCTGGCCTCTGACAGTGGACCCACTGTAAAGCCACTAAGGAGAGACAGAGGGGAGGAGAGAGTCAGTGTGCTTTGTTGCCTTCTTGACTTGTAGACCTCAGGGAGTGGGACCCGTGCACCTGGGTTCCCAGATTATCCTGCTCCCGGTACAGCATTCTGCTGGTTCTCTCTCCCAGTTTCTCCTGCAGCGTCTTTCTCCCCATAATATGGAAGCCTGAGTTTTCTAGTTCCCCATTTCCTCTCTTCTTTAGTCCCTGCTGGTCTCTGCAATGCACAGCCCATCCCCCAACCTATTGCTCTCCTCCCTCCATCTCCGTCTGCTGCCTAATGAGGCTGAAAATGAGTCTGACATCGTCCTTCATCTTCCTGCTCCAGCCGAGAAGGATGACAGCATCACCCTCTCCCTGCCCTGAGCCCATCCCACATTCAGGCAAAGCTGGGGACTAAATGATGAAATCTCTCTTCCCTGTGCCTGCCCTCTTGACCCGGAGAAGAAAAAGGAAGGCAGAAGCGGGCAATCTGATACCCGAATCCCCCACCTCTGTAGGTTCCCCTTCTTAAAGGGTCCCCCATGAAGTCAGGGAAGAAGAAAAGCATTTCAGGTGTAGCTGGATGGATGCTGGGTCCCAGTCTTCTCTCTGCTTCCATCCCTGGGGGCCTTGGTCACCTCCCTTCCTTCCCCAAGGAACCTAGGTACCTACCTGGTGGTTGGGGAAGGGGTAGGGGCAGGGGAGAGGGGATGCAGGGCAATTTGGGCTCCACAGAAGATGATGCTAGAACAACACAAAAGCCAGTTAAAGGCAGGACCTCTGAGTGCACTGATAAGACAGGGGAGGGATTACCTGAAGGCACATGGGATTTTGAGCAGTGGGTAATTTTCTGTGTCAACCACACCTGTATCTCCTTTTCTTGGCTAAGGTCAGGAAGGCAGATGCGGGAGCAGGGCATGGTGACTGTTCACATGGATGCCCTTTGCTCCTGACTCCCTCCTGTCCCCCCGGCTGCACTCACCTGGCCATGTCATAGAAGGCACTGCCCAGTTCCGGAAGCAGCAGGTTGGCCTCCTCACCCCCACTCTGCACAGCTGCCATCAGGACTGACTTCTCATCTTCAGCCTCCTGGGCACCAAAAAGACAGAGTTGGGTTTGGGGATGGTGTCCCAAGATGGGGGAGCAGCACACTGGGACAGGTAAGGGAAGAGCAGCAGAGGCTGGGACAGTGACCAGAGGGGCTGTAGGAAGAGTGCAGCAGGAGAGGCGTTTAGATGGGGGCTGGTGGATAGGAAGAGAACGAATGTCAGGGAGAAGCAGTGAGGCTATTGGGCAGGGTTGGGTTTTGGGGTGATATCCATTGGTGGCCTTGAAGAGAGGCTGGGCCTGCCTCCTCTCTTAGTGTGGCTGAGACTTCCTGCTCTAGAGGCTGGGACACTTGGGTTTGGCCCTACTTCTTCTTACTGCTTCTGCTCACCGAGTCAGAACTACTGTCTTCAGCTGGCCCTGAGAGGTGGGGGGCAATGGGAGCCGGCTGGCTGATGACAACGACAGAAGAAGCCTCTCGGGGCCCAGCAGGAGAGGAGCTTGCATCTCCACGCTCACATAGGCCATAGGGCGGGAGCCTCATGTCTTCTGGGGACTCGTCCTCGGAGTCTGTCAGAGCTGCCGGGCAGCCTGCAGGAGAGGAAGCAAGCAAAGAAAGAAGGATGCATTGTCAGAGGGTTGCATCAGCTCTGTCTCCTCTGGATGAGGAATATAGTTAAAACAAACAGGGGCCAGGGACTGGCAAGGAAAAGGCAAAACACATAAAAGGCAGAGGCAGCTCCCAGAAGGGTCACATGGAGCTTTCCTCAATAGGGGGAGGTGGAGTGAGGAAGAGGTGTCACAAGGCTGGGGGTGTACAGACTCAGCCCTGCAGTGGCCTCCTCATCCTCTGTGGCAGCGTCCTCATTCCATTTCTCATCTGCCACCTTCTCCAGGCGGGCCTCCAGCTTTCTCATGTACTCTAGCAGTTCCTGGAATTGGGGAGGAAAGAGGCAGGTGCTGGAGGCTGGGAAGATGCCAACCTTACTGGCCTACAGAGCCTTTCCTTGTATCCGAGATGAACTCTTAGCTCCCAGGATTAGATGCCTTCACAGAAGGGTATGGCAACTTCACATAGACCCAGCAGCCCTCCTTTGTCCCTTACATCCCTCCTTCTCCTAGCGATCCTCCTGTGTCCTGCCAAGTCAGCTAATAAGAGGAGCCAGGGTCCCATTTTTAGCATCTGGGACCTCTTAGAGATACCAGTTTCTAAATCAAGACATGACAAGAAGATACAAAATTTCCGGCCTTCAAGTCCTCAACTGTGGCATCCACAGGGCCTGAGTTACAGGTCCTCACCTGCTTCTCCTCCTGTAACTGTTCCTTTTCCTTCTGGAGCACACGCAGGGCTGACCGCAGCTCCGTCAGCTCCCGCTTACTCTCTGACAACTGCACCTGAGGGAAAAGGGCCACCTTGAATTTGGAGCCTAGAATGTACCTCCAAGAAGCTGGGATCTGGGACCTGGATCAACGACCTAGAACCAGGTCACCTCCTGCCTCTGTTCCTCTCCTCCTCCTCCAACACACACAGGGGAGTCCCCATCACTCTTCCTCCAGGAGTCCCTTGTCTTGGCCACACAGACACAGTCATCTGAGTCCTAGTCTTTGCGTCTCAAGTGTAGACCTGGATGACTGCCTCTGGGCTAGACTGCAGAGGCCTTGGTCATACCAGGGGGATACTTTATGATTATCCTAAGTCACCCCTACTAGGCCAAGATGTGTGCCCTGAGAGCAGAAAGGTACATTGCACATTTCGAACCAATGAGGGCTTGGAAGTGTGCAAGTGAGATGCTGCCCAACATAGAATTGGACGTCTGACACTTCTGAGACCACATCCAAGACAGAGCTAAGGGGCACTGATGCCTCAGGAGGCCACAGGACAGGACCCCTGGTGGCTGGATGCCTTACCAGGCTAGAATCCTTTTCCCGGGCCAGTTCAGTCTTGAACACTTGATTCTGGGTCCTCTCCTCCTGAACTGCCTTCTCCAGTCGAAGTATCTCTGCACTCAGCTTCAGGATCTTGTCCTTCTCTGCCTGGGAGAAAGCCAAAAAGGAAAATGGGAGGGGGAAGGGGAAGGAAAGGGATGCCACCAGCAACAGCACCATACCTCATTGTGTGTCTTCCTTTATTGCTGCAGTCCCCAACCCCTGGGCTGAGGACAGGACTGGTACTGGTCTGCGGCCTGTTAGGGACTGGGCTGCAGAACTCCACTCCCCCCACACCCTATCTGTGGAAAAATTGTCTTCCATGAAACTTAGGAAGTGGGGTGCACACAGCAGGAGGTGAGCAGCCAGTGAGAGAAGCTTCATCTGTATTTACAGCAGCTCCTGCCGCTGGCATCACCACCTGTGCTCTGCCTCCCCACCTCCACCCCACCCCTCACCATCCGTGGAAAAATTGTCTTCCATGAAACCGGATCCTGGAGCCAAACAGGTTGGGGACTACTGCCTTATTTGACTGAATTGTTTTTGGAGCAATTGCCCCTTTTTGCATTCCTCATTTCCTATACCCTCCGAAAAAAGGACAAGACATAATAGCAAGGTGCTGGTGCTGATCAGGAATGGGTACTTCTGGCAGGGCCTGGAGCCCAGGACAGAAAATGTTTCTCTGCCAAGTATAGTAACCAAGACAGGGGTGCTATGGTGATCAGGATTAGGATACCCTGGCTAGGGAGGGTCATGCCTGGAAAGTAAAGTGTACCTCCCTCAAAGCCCCTCTCCACCCCTGAGTCCCCTAAGGTTTTCAACCCCTCTTCTCTCCTCCCAGAGGGTCTGACCACATGTAGGAGTCCCCACAGAGGTGGATGGTGGCCATCAGACCCCTAGGTCCCCTCATCCCTCTACCTCCACACTCTGCAGCAGCCCTGCCCGCTCCTTGCTCCACTGGCTTTTTTCCTCCTTCAAGTGCAAACTGAGCTCGGCCAGCCTGCCGTTGACTTCAGCCACTTCCAGGCGGCTGCGGTGTAGCTCAGCTATGGTGCGGTCTCTGGCTGCTGCTGCGCTGGCCAACTCCTCCCCAAGAAGGGTGGCCTTCTGCTGGCTTGAAGCTGCAAGCTCCTGGGACCCTCGAAGCTGCTCCTTTAGGGGCTCCAGCTCAGCCTCACGAGAAAGGAGGAGATGGAGATCAGAGTTCCCAGTGAATCATTTGTCAACCATGGGTAACCAAGCTCCCTCCTCCCCCCACTGCATTAGGACTGAGGATTGGATTGTTTAGCCTTTAGCCATATCTTTTCCCCTTTTCTCTGGCCACCCCAAATTTTCTACAACTAGCTCTTGAACTTTTCACTGCTTTCTGTTGCTTAGGGGCCTTCACTCACCACCCGCTGCTGGGCCTGGCTTAGGGTGTCCTTCATCTGGGCCATTTTGTCCTTCAGTCGCTGGACCTGAGCACCCTGCTCCTCTTGCTGGCCCCTGGCCTCCTGCAGCTCCAAATTTAAGCGATGATTCTCCTGTTGTGCCATTTGGAGCTCAGCCTGATGGAAGTGGAAAGCAGGTAAGGAAGGGGGTATATGCGTTGGGGTGGCCGGGGAGGTGAACGTTGTGATGAGGGAGGTCAAGGTTCAGATTTAACACACACTCAAGCATTCAGTTCTTGCCAGCCATTCTTGGGTTCTCAGCTCAAAGGGATTCAATCCTTAACATCCAGTCTCTAGCTCCTGAAATGAGCTCCAGCATCACAGCCTGGGGTCTTACATGCAGGTATTCATGTCCCATGTCTGCTTCTCCACTCTTCCTCTTAAAACAAAACTCAGTTTGGATGTCTCAAACTCAGCATAGTCTACTGCCCCAGTCTTTCCTTTTATTCCTGTCCATGGTACTACCTATCTCCCAAGACACCCAGGCTGGATCCCTTGGTGCCATGCTTGGCTCTGTCCTCTCCCTAGCAGCCCACACAAAAGCTTATTGCTTCTCCATCCTCCATCCTGGTCACACCGTCTTCTCTTTTCTTTTATTGCCACAACCACATTAGCTTAGGCTCTGGTCATTTCTTTTTTTTTTTTTGAGAAAGAGTCTCACTCTGTTGCTCTGTTGCCTGGAGTAGAGTGCCGTGGCATCAGCCTAGCTCATAGCAACCTCAAATTCCTGGGCTCAAGCAATCCTACTGCCTCAGCCTCCCGAGTAGCTGGGACTACAGGCATGTGCCACCATGCCCGGCTAATTTTTCTATATAGATTTTTAGTTGTCCAAATAATTTCTTTCTGTTTTTAGTAGAGACGGGGTCTCGCTCTTGCTCAGGCTGGTCTTGAACTCCTGACCTTGAGCGATCCACCCGCCTCGGCCTCCCAGAGTGCTAGGATTACAGGCGTGAGCCACCGTGCCCGGCCTCTGGTCATTTCTTGCTTGGACTACTGAATAACCTCATAACTAGCTCATTTACCACAGGGCAATCAGATTAATCTTCTTTAAGTACAGTTCTGATTCTTTAAGTACAGTTCTTTAAGTACATGTCACCCCGACTTGAAAACCATCAAAGCCTCTCACTGCTTACAGATGATGACTAAACTCAAGATCCTCCACAGTCTGAGCTAGGCCTTATCTCAAACTCTTCACCCACACGTCCAGGTGCCCTGAGTGTTCTGGCCTCTCAGCCTTTGCTCCCGTCTTTCTCTGTTCCTAGGATAGCCTCCCTCTCATCTCTGTTCAAATTCTACCTATTCTCACTGCTGAGCAAAGGGTTTTTAGACCATCTTCCACGCAAACCCAGGGTTCTGAGGAAGCGAAATCCTAAAAATATTTGATCTGAACTTATTCTATATTATTAAAAATTCTGTTAAAAAGCAACACACAAACTCCCGAGTTAACACACTGGAGATCACCAATCCATAGACATGTGCTTCCAGGTTAATTCATTTTTGTACAAACCTCAGAATAAAGTTTCTATTGAATTAAAGAGTAAACTGAGATTATAAGGTGGACAGTTTAAAAACTGTTATCATTTGCACCTACTTGTGTGTGACTCAGGTGTTCTCAAAATTGTACAACCAAAATAAAATACAGAAATACATTAGTTGCTGAGGCTGACAGAACAGTTATCCATAACCTCTAATTTCAAAGTTTGGTTTCCATCAGAATTACTTAATTGTTTTCATTACCTTATAAGTAAATGTTATACATTTGAATTTATAAAAATACATTTATAGTAATAAAATATTGTTTATCTTTATTCAGCGAGGTTCCACATAAGATGAAAACTTCATTGGTGGGTGGGGAGGAAAGAGTTCTTTTGCTAAAAAGGTTTGAAAGTACTAGGCTAGTCAAGCCCCGTTTTAAAAAGACTTTTCTAATGTCTAACAAGATGTGCTTTCACCCATCCCTCCAAAGCTCTATGATAATTTATTAGATTTCTCTTGTGATACTTCTTACATTACACTTTGACCAATCCCGATCTGGGTACATGTCTTATGTTCCCTAGTAGAGTGCACACAACGTAGTCTTCACATCTTTATTCCCTTTGGTGCCCAGCACTCAGAAGGGACTCAATCAATACTGGCTTAATAATGGAGAAAGTAAACCAACCCTCAGCTCCTTACCTCACTTTGCTCCCTGTCTGCTTGCACTTCCTTCAGTTGCCCAAGGAGTTTCTCTTGTTCCCGAGTCAGGGCCTTCACCGTGTCTCTAACCCTGTGAGTGGGGGGATGACATGTCAGATAATCTGGTCACCTAGAGAAAGAATGAAGGACTCAGACCTCTTGTGCTCTTCTACTGGTGTTCCTCTAGGCCCAGACCTCCACTTCACTCCAGCATGCTTAAATCCCCAACCAAATGATCCAGGTCTAAGCCCCAAGAACCCAAGATTCCAGGTTCTGGGGCACAATCTAGAAATAAATAGTTTTTCTTATCTTTTTAAGGAATGTTCTGCTGATGGCTCCTGGTTGTTTTCACCCAATCTAGAGACTAGAATCCAGTCTTTTCCAGACAAGGGGAAGTCATTAGTAATTACAAACTTTTGATCTAGGTCAAAAGTTGGCAGACTTTTTCTGTAAAGAGCCTCACAGCAAATATTTTAGGCTTTGCAGGCTGTGCAGATTCCATGGCAACTACTCAACCCTGTCACCATGGTGGGGAAGCAGCCATGGACAATATGTAAATGAATGAGCATGGTGTTCCAATAAAACTTTATTTATGAATGCTGAGATGTGAATTTTATACAATTTTCACCTGTCACAAAATATTCCCCTTTTAATTTCTTCTCCAACCATTCTTACCTGTGAGCTGTACAAAAACAGGTGACAGGCTACATTTGCCCCATGGGCCATAGTTTGCTGATGCCTGGTCTAGACAATACCTAATCTTTTCCAGATGTTCAACCTGATCCCTGCTTTTCTGCTCCGTGAGTTAGAACAGAGACATCTAATATCTCCCTAGGGCAAGACTAACATATCTTGAAGAAGCCTCTCAGATCAATTCACTTTTTATTCTAGGCCTTGCACAGAATGCCTCTTGCCTATAAAGAGGTTTTTTTTTTTTTTTAACAATATCAAATCTACCAATAGTGAATGAAACTTAACTATACCATTTGCTCAGTGAAAGAACTAGAATGTTTAACCTGATGAAAATTTGAAGGATAGACATGGGAGGTGGTGGTCAATATTTAAGCTATTTGGTAGAAATAACAGTTTTCTGGTAGAAGAAAGAAATTTATTCTGTGTGGCTCCAGAGGTTTAAAACTAGGACCCACTGGTAAGTTATACAAGGACAGAGTTTTAGCTCAAACACAAGAGATACAAAAGTGACATCTGTCTAATATTGAGAGAGGCTGCCTCCTGAGGGGGTCTTCTCTTACATAGCCACTCATGACCTTATACTCCTCCCAATGCTAAGACTCTATGATTGATGGCCTTTTTCAGGGGAGATATTCCATAACATTCCTGGATCACAGTTCTAACATATCTTAATAGTAAGACCAGAGTCTAATCTTGCATTTCCTGTGGTAAAATATGAAATTCACCCTCTCTTATCTTGTGCTGTCATTTTCTTTTTTTTTTTTTTGAGACAGTCTCACTCTGTTGCCCTGGCTAGAGTGAGTGCCGTGGCGTCAACCTAGCTCACAGCAACCTCAAACTCCTGGGCTCAAGCGATCCTACTGCCTCAGCCTCCCGAGTAGCTGGGACTACAGGCATGCACCACCATGCCTGGCTAATTTTTTCTATATATTTCTAGTTGTCCAATTAATTTCTTTCTAATTTTTCGTAGAGACGGGGTCTCACTCTTGCTCAGGCTGGTTTCGAACTCCTGAGCTCAAACAATCCGCCCGCCTCGGCCTCCCAGAGAGCTAGGATTACAGGCGTGAGCCACCTCGCCCGGCCGTGCTGTCATTTTCTTCTTCCAAATCCTCCAGTCCTAGCTCTTGCTTAGCTATCACAATAAACGGTATAATAACTATGATTATTTCCGAAGGTGAGGAATACAGAATGATGTTAGGAAAGATGAAAGAAAGCTAGGCAGAAGATGTCCCCATTAATTGGAATACCCCGATTGAGGTTGAGAAGGGAAAGAGAAACCATGAGACAGAGAGCAGGTCTGCCTTCCCGAAACAGGAGGCTGGAGTTCAGGCATCATGGGAAGCAAAGGGGGTAAGGAAGGTCCCCTCACCTGTCCAGCTCTACCTCCTTTGTCAGCACTTTCTCACTGATGGTCTGGATGTCATCCTCCAGCTCCAGGATGCGTGCCACGTGGTCTCCCTGTTGCTGGCTCAGTATGTCCCTTTCTTCTGTGAGCTCCCCATGGGCCCGGGAAATCCCCTGGAATTAAGGGTCCCCCAGAAGAAGAGGGAGGTTGACACTCATCTCTCAAATGGTAGAACAAAGGCTTAGGAGGAGTATGCCAGAGTTTGACTTCTCCTACCCTCCTTTCCCATCACCTTCCTTGCAAAAGAAACTCTAAGGGAACATTCCCTTTCCTGAGAAGATGGCCAGCCCCACCTTACCCCAGCATTCCTATGTTCAAAGAACTGAATCTCATTACAAGTTTGGGACACGACTCTCATCATAATAAGTTTAATCCCACTTGTTCCCCTTAAACCTATTTGGTTGATGGCAGAACCACCTTAAAGGCCCACTAACATCTCTCCTTCACTCTTTTCACTGGGTTCAGATTTTGGAACTAGCTGAGCAGCCAGGCCCTGTCCCCTACTTGGCCCAACTCCCACCTTGTACTGCTCCATCAGCTCTGCATGCTCCTGCCTGGCGGTTGCCAGAGTCCTCTCGAGCTCCTGTACTCGGCTTCTCAGCTCTGTCACCTGCCCCTCCAGCTGTAGCTTCAGCTGCATCAGGTCATTTCGTTCTTGCTGGCTCTCATCCAGCTGGTTCTACAGGGGACAGGATGGGAAGGGAGGTGTGCTTGTGAAGCACCCATTCTAAGGTTCCATCCCCATCACTCTCCAGATGCATTCTGGGGTTGGGAGGTGACATCAGTATGGGCTATAAAAAGGTGAGTTGAGCAGAGGTGTGGTGTGCTACTGAATCCCGCCCACCACCCAGTCAGACACATCAGCTCATGGCACTCTTAACTGATCCATCCCTCTTACCGTTCCTCACTCTGTAACTGCAGGAATCTCTCGTCTGGCGCAAGTCTTTCTCGATGAACACAGACAAGAGATGGCTCCCCTAATTTTACCCTAACTGTTCTGGAGTTGGATAGACTTGGGTTCAAATCTCCAATACAATTTTTACTAGTTACAACTTTTTTTCAAAAAGACAGGGTCTTGCTATGTTGCCCAGGAAGAAGTGCAGTGGCTATTCATAGGCACGATCATAGCTCACTGCAGTCTCGAACTCCTGGCCTCAAAAGATCCTCCCACCTCAGCCTCCCAAGTAGCTGGAATAGGTGTGTGTCACCGTGCTTGTGTAGCTATGTGACTTTGAACAAGTTATTTAACTTCTCTGAGTCTCTGTGTCCTCATCTGTAAAATGATCCCTTAGTCTGGGTTGTTGTAAGGTTTAAAAGAGAATCATGAATGTGAAAACAGAACACAGAATAGAAGCTCATGCATCTCTTACTTCTGTGAGACACAAACATTTTCCTATTCTGGTGTTGACTCTGTGTACTTATTAGACTTGGAGTTCTAGAGGGCAGGGGTTTGTTTGTCTAAATCACAGAAAAGCTACTCATTCTCATCTTCTGAGACTTCGTCAGGCCTTTCGTTGTCTGGAGGATGTACTTGTCCCCTACCTGGCCCTGTCCTTGCCTTCCTTCAGAAAGTCTTCCTTGCTAGTATCTGCCTCCATTCCCTAATTCTTCTCTATTTGGCCCAACAGAAATATAATACAAGCCACACATAGAATTTAAAATTTTCTAGTAGCCCCTTAAAAAAAGTAATAAGAAACATGTGAAATTAATTTTAATAATATTTAATCTAATCCAGTCTATCCATTTCAACATGTAATCAATATAAAAATTATTGAGGTCTTTTACATTCTTTTTAAAATACCATGTCTTCAAAATCTGATGTGTATCTCACCCATACGGTACATCCCGATTTGGATTAGGCACTTTAGAAGTGGTTAAGCACCTGTGGTACTGGACAGCACAGGTCTGGGCTCCTGCCTATCTGCTCTCACTCCTCGCTTGTCCTAGAAGCAGGTCTTATCCCCCACTTCCTCTGAATGTTTCCTGCAATAGCCTCCCTCCACCATCTGGATCGTCCTGTAGGGCTCAGGGCAGGATATAGCCTTTGGAGAAGGAAGGCTTGAAAAGTTCTTAGGAAATCTTGGGTTACACAGGCCTGTGGGTGGCTTGCTTTCCTGCCTTACATGTTCCTGTCTGTCTATGTTAGACTGAGACTTTGTATAACTTCCAATACAAGGAGGCAGGACTTTGTATAACTTCCAGGAGGTCTTCAGTTGAGGCTACAGATGAAGGGAGGGTGAAGTGGGAAGGAGCCCCTTGCAATGCTGTCCTCCCACTCCCTTGCTTGGAGCAACTCTGCTGCTCTTTTCTCACCTGCAGGACAGTTGCCTTGGGCACAACCAGGAGGATGTCAGAGCCGCCATCTGCTTCCTCCAGGGTCACCAGTTCATCCATGGGCCTTGGCTCTCGGAACTGAAAAGGGGGGCTCTGTCCACACACGCGGCCCTGGCGATTCACATATCGGAACTGGTAGAGCTGGGCTCCTGGTTTGGGCAGGTAGCTGGCTGTGGGAAAAATGGATCCAGGACCCCAGTATGATCCCAGGTCCTCAAGTGCTTAGCAGTTCCCCCTTTCCCCTAGTGCACCACATTATTCATTGTCCTTGGCTCAGCCCCTCGCTCCCTGTTTTCTCTCCTATCTACCTCCCACATACTATTTCTGTTCCCTGGGATACTCTTCTCCCTCCTTTCTGCCTAGCCCTCTCCTTCCTCTCTTTCCCAAACTCACTCCCCTTCAATCACAATCATAATAACGCTAGTTACCATTTACTGAATGCCTACCATGTACCAGACACTGTGCTAACAGCTTCACCTGAACCATTTTAAATCCTCTTAGTGTCCCTCTAAGCCCTTTACTGTTAAGATAACAGAAACAGGGAGGTTATGTGAGGCCAATCAGCTTGTCAGTATTAGGGTAGAGATTTGAACCCAGGTCTTTCAGAATCTTATGATCATCCTGTTCTCAACACATAATGCTATTTTCCCTCCTCCCTACCCCCTAGTTCCGTAAGAGGAGTTCCTCCTCCTTTGGGTAGGATGCGGGACTAGATGCCCTCTACAGTTGCTTCTAAGTCCCTGATTCTGTAATAATCCCATGATTCTACATCTGCTGAGCCCTGCTGCATATATTCTCATATATTTATTTGCATTTATATTTCCTTGTCCTCTGTGCCTAACTTTTATGTTTCTGAGCCCGATACCTTCTTCCAAATCTCTACTCCCTTGGCTCTTCCCCCCCCATTTTCCATCTTCCCTTGTACCTTGGAACTGGACACTGGTGTGGATGGGGGAACCATCAGTTGTACTTTCAGGCACTGAAGACCACACAAAAGTGTGGTAATCCCGAACACAGGCGGCCTCCACCTGAGAAAGCCCAAGGTAGGAGAAGGGAATGGTGACAGAACTATCACCTATGGATGGTAGAAAGGGCTGAGGGATTGAATGAGGGGGACAGGACAGAGCTACAGTGGCAACAATGGCAAGAGACCAGGAAAGGGGACTGATACTAATGTGTCAGGAGTAAGCAAGGCTAAGATGGGGAGAAGATAAGCTTTGCTTATACAGGTGGCCTCTGTCATCTGTGACATCTTTCTTCCTTTTTCTCTAACAACCCGAGGTTGAGAATCTAAGAACCTAATCATTCCCTTTAGTCCAACCAAACCATGGGCCATAAACCTAAGCCAAAAATGGTTCCAGGGATACCTTGAAGATGCCAATCCAGTCACTGGCACTGGGCATGGTGCCTGGGGGAAGGGTGTAGTGACATTCCACCTTGGTGTTGGGGATGTAGGTCCGGGCTACATTCAGAAAGTTGACTCCACCCCGGGATGGCGCCCGGCTTAATGATGATTCTTCCATCCTGCCCTTGAGATATCTGCCCTCCTATGAAAAAAAGGGTTGATACGCTGAAGTCTCTCCACTCCACCTCCTTCCCCTTACATTCTACCTCCACCCACTCACAGCCCCTACCACTGGAGATGAAGGTATACCTGGTTTCCATCCCCTGAGGGTTTTAGGACCTTTTAGAGGTATCACTCTTAGGCTGTAGGACATAGGTCTGGTCTTCCAAGCCAGTCCCCACCCTGTCTCACATTATGCCCTCTCTGGATCATAGATCTTTCTTAGAGTTCAGATCTAATTTTTGCTCTCTTTCACTGCCCCATTGACCAACCAAGTCTCAGTATCCCAGGCTCTGCCCCCTTCAATCCCTCCTTTTCACCTCTTAATCTCCATGAGCATTCCAAATTCTCCAGCCTCCATTTCCCTATCCCATCTCTCACACCTTCTGGCTCTTGAATGCAAAATCCAACTGAGATGTGGGGCCCTCTCATTCTGAGCAGGTCTCCTTACCTGTTCCTAAGCTTGTTGACTCAGCTGTACCCAGGAGTGAATTATGACCCTGAGTTATGACCTCAGCTGATCCCTAAAAGGAATGGGTGAGTTTTCAGAGCTGGAATATGGCTTGGGGGGTGGGGCAGAGACAACCAACAGCCCAATCTTCAGGCTGCTGAGGTCTCAGTCCTCTCCCCTTCTCTGAGCTGTCTATCCCTATCAATTCTAGAGAAGCAGAAAGCTTCTGCTGTCATCCAAGAGACAAAGGGAAGGGGAGGATATAAGGAAAGACAGGTTCTATCCCTCAACTTTATTATTCCAGGAAGTCAAGAATTCTGGAGGCGGCAGCTTCAAGGGTGGAGTGCAACACTTAGCAGGAACGTGGTGGTGTGGGGAGATGGAATGCGGGGGCCTGGAGCCAGGAAAGCCCCACCCCTGGGCAGGGAACAGACTAGAAAGTCGGAAATGGGGGGCCCTAAGAAGGGGAAATGTATATTTAATGTTAAAACAAGGGCAAGACAGTTCAAAAAGAACCTAACATTCTTCTCTCCAGATCTTGTCTGCAGCAGGATTAGAAACCTGCTCATTTCACTCTATTATTTCCCTCCCCATTTTCTCTCTGCTCCTCTTAGCCTCAATTCCAAGTGTCTCGAGCTTCCCATTTGTTTGAGTTGGTAGTTGGAGACATGATATAGGATGAGGTTGAGAGGAAGGGGTGTTCCAAGTTAGCTGGGGAGAATTAACTGGAAAATATGAGGGTTGGGTGAGGACAGATAATAATGAAAATCAAGAGAACTCCTCAGCCCAGGGCTGTGAGATGGCACTCTTATTCATCTCTCTCCAGCCCACTACTGTGCTTCCTGTGACAGCCGCAGCTGATGTGTCTAATCAGCCATCACCACTAGTCATGTGCACGCCCCCAAACATCACAAATCCACATCGGGCTTAAGTCAAAGGGACAGGACCTTTAAAAGAAAGCAGAAACTCAGTGGAGAAAGAAAGGTAGGCCAGCAATACAAAAAGTGGCAACTTCTCCCTCCAAAACAGAGATTGAAGACAAGAAATTTCTTTGGATTTTCATCTCTCTGAAAAATTCCTAGTTAAAACTAGTCCATTTTTTCTCCAAATACAGTTCTTCCAGACTTCTAAGGGGGTGTGGGTGTGTATGAATTGCCCCCAAAGATCTAAGCCAAGAGAACCCTCAAATAAATACTCCCCACAAAGAAAATCTGTAACAGCTGTAAACATTCTCCTTGCCTGAAAGTTCTGGGCACCTAAGGTGTAGGTGTGTAGACAGATTCAGATGTTCGCATGGGGGAGAGGGTGTCCCATCCCCTATTCTGGAGGGCTCTAGAGTTCCTTGACATTCTACAACTTGGAAAGTTCCCTCGTCCCCCAGGGATTCAGCGTAGTGAAGGCCTTTGGATTTGGGCGGGGGATTGAGGGAAGGTTTGTGGTGGCCGACTCTTGCCTGAGAGACAATAAGCAAAGATTTCAGCTCCTTCAAACTCCCCTAAGCGTATCAAGCTTTGCAAAGAAGGGCTGAGAAGAAGGCGAGGACAATGAGGGGGCATCCCCCTATTCAGGGCCCCCTTGAAACTAAGAACTCCCAAAACGGTGGGGCTGGCTTCTCCAGTATGGAAAGTGTTAAAACCCAAACGCTCCTGTATCCCCCTTCTACAGTTTCCTTAGATCATCCTTTCACAGACTGGAAAGTGGAGTGACCCCTCCCGTATAAGATCGCCCCCGAATTAGGCCAAGTTTCTTACCCACAGACGGATCAGCTGTTCCCCTCACCTTTCACCAACAACAAAAACAGCACTCCGACGGCTGAGGGGAGGGAGAAGAGTGGCCGCGAGGGCGTCTGGGGCTTGTGGTTCTTCCGCGCGCTTTGCTGCCGGGCCTGGTGAGTCCTGGGACTGCGCATCCCAGGAGGCCGCGCGCAGCGGGGGCGGAGACGAGGGCGCTCGTGGCGGCGGCCTCACCGCGGCATCCTGGGAGGCGTAGTTCTCACCTCCATGACAGCAAACGAGGGTGTGACTATCAAAGGACTTCACGGCCCATGATTCCTTAGGAGGAGGCCGGCAGTATTAGTGGTGACTGCTGGTTTGTAAAGTGCATTGTTGGGGGGTGGGGAGGATTTGCAGCTCTAACGCCTTCTCTATAACGATTTACTGTGGGCAGAACGCTTTCTGGTTCGCCTTCTCCTTCGCTTTTCCCAACCACCTGTGAGATAGGTATTAGTGTTAGCCACAGTTTACGGAGGAAGAAACACGCCCAGGACGATTAAGAAACCACTGGAAACTGTCGAAGATATAAAATGGTAGAAGTGCTCTAGAGCTGTCATTGTCGCTATCCTACAACTAACCACCATTTGGGGACAGGACAACAGTTTCTTCTTTGCTTCAGTCTCAGGGACAGACCTTGTGAAAACTGTGTGTTCTGCGAGGCTGGCCATTTTTTTTCAACTTTAGGAATTCAGTGTCAAGGGTCCAGACGACCGGACAACACTCACATCTGGCCTTAACTTCCCTAGAGTGGCTCCTGGGTCTAGGAAGAAGATACTTTGCCTGAGGTGTTGGTAGGAGCTATGGAATGAAAAGAATGAAGTTGAAAAGAGAGCGTGGCATAATTCAGGACTTGTCACAATTCACAAACAAGCCACTTACAGGAGCCTGTTTGCCCAAGCCTTTTAACTGGCTTAATTAGGCTAACAATACATGTTGTTGTTCCGGTTTTTGTTTAGCTGAGATGAAAGATGGGCACTTCTCCCACATCCCAAGTCACATTATAGACTTGGACATCCTGTCCCCCTAGCCCCATCCTTCACCCCTCTAATCTCTTTCCCTGTCTCTGTATTAAGAAATTACAATCTAAGGATTGATTTCCTATGTGCCTACTTTAGTTCTCTGCTGTACTAAGTTATGGAGCCTCTTCCTTTTCCTAGTTTTTTGGGAGTGTTTTGCTTTTATGACTGCATGGGGTGTCTGTCCCTAGGTGCCTTTCTTCTGAAGATCTCCAGGCACTTAGCAGTAAGTTACTGGGCTCTATAAACATTAAGGCAATGTGCCTGTGTCATTCGTCAGGATTTATGAATTAGGGAACAAGCTTCTGGATGAGGACATGGCTCAAGGTCCTGGGGTCGGTTAAGAGTGAGGCTTGTTGTTCAAAGACTGAAGTCTCAAGTGCTTTTGGTTTTGTCTTCCATCCAGAATGTGATACTAACTCCCATTGTTCTAAGGAATAGTGCTATTAGTTAGCAGGGGACAAATTTCACTGAGCATTCATGTACTCAGTGCAAGGCACAAGGTAATGTGAAACAGAGTCATATCCAACAAATATGTGTGTTAGGTACTATGTCAGGTATTTGATAAATTGTATGGAAAGAATGAATATAAAATACAGATATTTGAAGGATGGATTAAATTTGGATAGTTTGGCAGGATGGGGACTGGGAAGGGTTAAGCTTATTCTAGGCCAAAGCAAAGATTCGGAGGTGGGAGTAGATAATGTTTACTGGAGCCTAGAGAATCCCATAAGAATAGCACATCAATTTCAACTTTTTTTTTTTTTTTGCCAAACTCAGATTATTGCTAATGACTGTAATGTTGTGTTGAGAAGGATTCTGAGGAAAGAGTGCTGGGTAATAATGTCTGCCATGTACTTTGGATGGAAAATGGCAGTAGTAGATTGACTCATTGTTAGAAATTATTTCCTTTCTCCTTCCCTGCCCATTGCCATGTGACTTGCAGTACCTTCTGTAGAAGGAGTCTCATTTCATTGACTTTGGGCTTGATCATGTTTCATGATTTGGCCAATGGGATGTGAGCAGATGTGACTCATGCCATATTCGAGAATGTGAGTTTCCATTTCTTGTTCTTCCCTCCCACTAGAATGGACATATTCCACATGAGGGTTGCTCCTTCTGCCTGGGTCCTGGAATGAGAAGACCAATGGAACAGAGCGGTAGCCTACCCACAACATACATATACATGTCAGAAATAAATATATGTTGTTGTAAGACACTGAGATTTGGGGGTTGGTTGTTATTGCAGCAGAGCTAATAGCCATAGTTGGATACTGGAAAATAAAGATTGAAAGGTAAGTTTAAGCCAGAGTGTAGAGAATTTTGAATGTCAGGTGAGGCAGAGCCTGCTGTGTGTTTATGAGAATCTGTTTCTTTCTTTTCCTTGGACACACAGCTGGACCACATTTTCAGCTTCTCCTTTAATTGATGTGTTCCACTTCCAGGTCTGGCCTATGAAACCTCCCAAAGGAGATCCTTCATATTCTTTCCTTTCTGGCTTGATGAAGATGACCTTGAGCACAGTGATGCTGAAGGCCACGTGTTAAAGACAGTGAAGCCACAGGATGGAAGGAACTTGGTTCCCTAAATCATCACTTGGCAGAGAGTGCCTGCTAATCAGGATCATGTGTTTTGGACTTCACTTGACCAATAAATCAACTTCTATTTTGTTATACCATTAAAAAGTTGGGGTTTATCTTTTGTAGTTATTAGTGTTTTCCTAATCAGTACATCAAGTTAAAGGTTTGGACTTGATTCCCATCAGGAATGGGAAGTTAGTCACTGATGATTTTTCTGAACAAGGGGAATAATACTGTGAAGACAGGTGGAAGTTGTAGTTATAGGGATCAAATAATACTTCTGAGTGAGGTTGGAAGATTTGGAGACTGTTGGTTTTTTCAGAATATAGGCTAATTCCTCATTCAGGGAGGGAGGATAATTGTCATGATTGTTAAAAAGCTCCCTAGAGCTATGGGGGGAGCTGCTGAAAAGTGAATCCGATTTCCCTGAAGTTTTAAGTCTCTTTTCTCTTTTGTAAAAGTCCTAATTCTGGTAGTGCTTCGTTTAGTCCAGTGCTTGCCACATAATAAATGTTGAATGGAAGCTAGTCCTGAACTCTCGAATGCTTTGAGGAGCTACCACTAGCTGAATGCCTACTACATGGCAGGTGTTCTTTCACCCATTGAATCATGATAACCATGCAAGGTGCTATCCAAATTTTACAGATGAAGAAAGTGAGACTTTAAAAGTAACTTGCCCAAGGTCACTCAGATCAGTCCT